AGGGGTGTGCCGATTTGCACAGTCGGTATAACTCGTCCGCAAACACATTGGCGGTTTCTCCAATTCGCCGTCGTCGTGAATGCAGTTGGTTTAGTGTCTCGGTTTTTGATATCGCGGGGTTAAGGAGTTTCTCTAACTCCTGACATAGCTTACCAATCGGAGTCTCGGCGAACAATCCGGCATCCAACGCCCTGTCTAACTGGTTGGGCGTCAGGCACTGTAAAATTGCCATGCTCTGTTTGTGGGTGGGGACTACACCAACATGAAACTGCGAGCGGCGGAGCCAGGCTGAAAAATCCTTCTCGTCAAAAGCTGTTAATTTCAAGGGGGTCGACACAATAGCGGGGAGTAGAAGTCGGGAGCACCGCTGCCGCCAATGTAATACCCACCTTGTCCTCGTCCTGTATTGGCTTCAGATCGTCGGTGCCTTCGCAGTCCTTCGTTGGACGACCAACTGAGAAGGGCTCGTCAATGGATTGATTCCGTGTCCCAGACGACATGATAACACCGTAATCCAGCAACAATCGTCAGCAGGAGTGATACAAGGGACAGTTTATTGTAATGGAATAATAGTAACACGGAAAATGGAGTTACAAGGGTGTTGCAGATTCCTTGATTAGCTTTAGTCAAGAGACGTCTCTCTGACAGAATAATTCTGATCAGTATCTGGCTGAACCAGGGAAAGTGTAGAGCTGGAGACTGCTACAGGGGTTGGGACGCAATTCTCACCAGTCGAATCTGAAACTGACCAGAAAACAGGGACCTTCGTAAAACAACAAAAGGACGGATCAGTTCAATTCTGCCATACCACATTCGACTACCATTTTCAAGTATATAAAATGGAGGATGTTCGAGGAGCTATTTAACCAGACGAACGATATGAAGCAAGTAGGAAACGATATGAAGCAAGTAACAAGCGACTCAGCCGTTTTTGGAATGGGGAGTCCCGCGGGGCTGTTGGCAAAGAAGTGGTCCGAGAGAGAATGGTTGTCCCAGAGAAAGACCTGTAGAAGTTCCGTGTGGATCGAGTAATTTTTGGTTACGATCCAGTTTCTTAATCCAAATGGGCCCTCAGAGCGTCCAGTCGGCAGAAATCTCGGGAAAGACAAATTCGTCGGAGCTCGAAAATTTCAAACCGAATTCGAAGGGCGCGTGTCGTTTATTGTTCTGAGCCCTCCGTCAGCTTCTTCAGACGTTTGATAAGCCATTTAGTCAGACCGTAGGTAGGTGTGCCTTTCAGCGTAACAATTGGTTGTAAAGGAACTTTTGGTTTGTGGATCTTTGGCAGTCCATATAAGCGTGCTATGGCAGCATCGTGTGGTTTTATCTGTCGCAAATCGTTCTCAGATATTGCCTGTTGGTTCCTCATTAGACTCGGGCTCTTGTTGATTTTTGCCACCAGTTCTTTCGTGGGGTCAGAGACAATGGCTTTGTATGACTGGTTATCGTTGAGTAGCTCCTGAGCTTTCGCTACGTACTCTGACTTGTCCAAGATCACGGTTGCCCGTAATGTGTCTGCTGGGACAATCACAATTTCTTCGTCCCTCCTTAATTCCTTAATGGCCGTTACCTCGGCTGAGAAGATGGTTGGACGTGGCCTGTGGGATATGATGAGA